GAAGCTTTGATTTGTAATAAATTACTTCAATATAATTTACGTAACACATCAAATCTTTTTTCTTTCCCGTACATTTCTATTACTCTTAAAAGTGACACAGAAAAATTAAATGAAATTTTATTTGCTTATTGCCGACGACTTCAAGACAATATTATAGAACGCGAGCACAAGACACTGTGTCGGTGAGGGCGAACATGCTGGCTCGCTGGTATGCGCGATGTACGGTGGAGGTGAAGGTCATTCTTTGCAGAGACTTTTGCACCTGTGCTTGCTCAGGGCCCAGCGTACGCAATTTAATAACGTCTTCAGGACGCTGACATCGACAGCTTCATGGCAGTCTCATGGAAGAAGTCGACGTCTTTATTAAACGGAATACATGGCAGCAGCAACGTTCTCCTGAAGAGAAGACTCGCGACTAGGAGCGAGTGCTTCAGGACGCGGCATTTAATGATGAGCACAAAATCCGTATCTACCAGAATTTAAGTACTAACCTTTTCTCAGATCTTTGTTGTCTGTAATAAAGATTCTGTAATTATTATTAAAACATGGTGAATGAAAGATAAAATGTATGTATTATATATTTATATTATTATATTACTTAAAATGAATTTATATATAAGACTGTCATATCACATACACAAGAAATAATCAGTAAATTAATACCAACATAAAAATAACTATCAATTTCAAATTATTAGATATTATCATTGACTTACAAATAAATGGACAACGGGTCTAATACAAAAACCACGAAAAAAAATGTCCCAAGTCAAACTATTCGAAATTTAAATTGTAATGTCATCGCAGTATCGCGCTGTCAGTCGAACAAATGAAGACTAAAGCGAAGTTTGACGCTCTGTATACGATTTTAACGCCTTACAAGTTCGGACACTTTTTAGCGCGGACCCGACGTCCATATAATTGTAAGTCAATGGATATTATACACAATATATCTAGTACTTTTTCCTTACCTATTTCTGCAACCAAACAGTAATGTTAACATGCATGCAAGGCTGCAAAGTTGTTGTTTGACTGGAGTGTTTGTATTGAAACCTGAGCAAGCGAAGGAAGGAAGCTAAGATCAAAAATAGATTCCTGATCTTAACGAGGGTTTCAAAACACAAGACGCAAAACAACTTTGCTGCCTAGCAAAACACACGACTTTTCACCTCATAGCGAGGAAAATGGTAGATGAAAGAAAAACAGTTGAGCAAAATTAAAACTTTATTTTAATTTTTTTAAATTAAATGACAAAGTTTATCTTTGGATGCGTTCGGAATTTACACCTCATCAATTTTTATTCCTGCTTATAATTTTATTTTGTCTGATTATTGAAATTATTTTAGTTCTTCAACGAATTAGAATAATAAACACAATTAGTTATTATTGTCAATTTAATGTCAACAATAATAAGAATGAAATATACCAACGGATTTATATTACACATATAAGTAATGTACGACAAGTCGCTTATTTGATCGTGTCATTATGTTTTTTTTTCATCAAAACAAAAAGTTAGGTGCACCGCAGTCCATCGTCAAGTTCGAATTTCACAAACCTTTCCACGCTAGCGTGCAAAAAACGCTTATTTCTAAGGAGAAAGAATGCCTTTCCGAGCTAGTGAGGTGAAAAATACATTATGTTATTCTTCCATAAAATAAGTTAAGTATTACACAATAAGTGTTTGTACAATAGGCCATAGATAATGCAATGAACACATATATCCAGAAATAAAAAACATGGGTGACACCTATCAGAAAAGAAATAAACAAAGAATGATAAAAGTAGAAAGTTATTAAACCAGGTGTCACAGAGGTTTTATTCTAATTTATTCATGAGGTCCTCTGTCAAATTTTCACGGGCGCATCATAAAAAATAACAATTTTGTCTTTAAACCGTACACTAAGTCTACTTCTGAATAAATTATTTGATAATTGAATAGGTATCCTTTGTTAGAGCATTATAAATTCTGACACACATATCTTTGAATTGATTTTTTGTAGCAAGACAATCCAAGATTTATTATTTTATACAAGTCTATTTGGGTCCCTTACATTTCTGCTATGGACGCAAATCGGTAGTTTAATTGAAGAAAGAAGAATTTGTTTACCATTCATATTTAGTTAACAATTAGTATTATGCAAATGAAGCTTATTTATACAATCACATAAGACACTCACGCAAACAACAGTAAGCATCGCACTCAAGTGTCACATTCTCCTCTTGATCGTACTCAAGCCATCTTGTTGATTCATTCACCATCTTGAGCTGTGCAAATTGTGTTAGGCATTAAAGTCGCGTGTTGACTTTCTCTATTGCCCATTTAGTACCTTAATAGAACCACAATAGTCGCTGGGGCAGCGCCCAACAAGGCGTAATTCCATAAAATGGGCATAAAACTTCTTGTGCAGCAAAGAAAGCTGTGTAATGTTTCCCTTAGAAACTTATCTATATTGCTTGCATTCGCCCATCACTACGCGTAATTTTAAATAATATTTTCACTTATCATGCTCTAAAAGAACGTCATTATAGCCTTACTTAGCAGGAATAAAGTGCATCATTTAATCCCTGGGATGCAAAAAGCACCTAGTTTTTCAATTTACATACAGTGGCCTAGGCAAACTCATATAGCCCTTGCGTTAGTTTGTGCCAAAAGGTAACGTTCAATAAGTAAAACAAAATAATTACAACTAAACAACACTTAAAAACAATCACAAAAACGAAAAAAGTAATTATAATATAACATTACAGTAATTCTGTAATAATGAAAAAGTCAAATCAAAGTAAATAAACCTATAGTTTCACTGAAATCGCTGCGCTGCTGAAATTCAATAAAAAAAAAGAATCACTATAGCCAAAGACAAGAGTGTCTGGTTAAAAAAAAACCGCGAAAACTTCAGAATTTTGGTTCGTGATTTTGTCGTAGAGCGTAAACGATCTCAAGACTAAACCCCAATATAAACCCTCCAAGCAATAGACATCGTTAAAGCTTGAGTGGCTTACCACCTCGGGTATATATTGGCTCGTTTTAGTCCCTCGATAAAGAATATAATTACTATTATGGTTTTTTTTTGTTTATTTAGGGAAACGTACAGTCTTATACAAGTCTTACAAAAAATACATATGTTATTCTTTCATAAAGTAAGTACAAGTATTACAAATTAAAAATTTGTACAATGAACCATAGATAATACAATGAACACATATCCAGAAAAAAATATGGGTGACACCTATCAGAAAATAAATAAACAAAGAATAATAAAGTAGACAGTAATGAAACCAGGTGTCAGAGGTTTTTAGTTTATTCTAATTTATTCATGGGGTCCTCTGTCAAATATAATATCTCCCACTTTTTGCTTGTAACTCATCAGTAATAAAAAAAAGTATTTGCTTTCAATTTGAAATACATAAACGAGTGTCGAATAAATGTGTTTTAGGCGTAATTTATAGAACAATAAAATGTATTTTTGTATGGGAAATAATAAATAATAATAAGTATAATAAAGAATAACACAAATAATAAATATTAGACAACATCACAGACGTTACTCTGATGGGTTGATGACAAAATAAGTAGCTAAAGCACTTGTGTTATGGAAATCGGAAACAACGACGGTACCACTAACACCCACACCCGAGTTAAAGTTAGTTTCCTACACTGACCCGACCGGGGATCGAACTCGGAACATCTCAGATATGCCACTTGACCACAGAGACCATCACAAATTATATTTTTGTTAGAAATGGAAAGGTAAATATGTAACATTATACTTGTAAATCAATGAAACAATCGTTGCATGTAATTCTTTTTTTAACAATAAGATGTTCCAAATTAAATTGCAAACTTTAAGTTGATATTCACCTATTTCAAAAAATATAATGTAGTCTATTCTAAAGGTAAATAAATATGTCCATGAACAATTACGACAAAGAACATATGTCCATTGTTTATACCACCAATGTTAAAATTTTTGTTTCATTCAATTGGTTGGCATAAAATGTGACAACCGTATATAATAAATAAACTACATATTCTGTGCTACATCGAGTCGCTATGTTTATTTTGTTATACTCATTTACTAGGTGTTTTTGTGCTGCAGATGTAAGGAATAACGTCATACGTTATTTCTAACTGAGACGTCTTCGTTAGGACGTCTTTGCCGTAATAATTTGGACTCGTTCTAAATCTACCTCTGTGACATTTAATTAGTAAAACTTTCGTTCTTAAGGACAGGTTATGGTATCTAATTGGCCAAACTGCCAGATGTTAGATTGTAATTTTTCTTCAATAATTTAATTTTCCAGTTATATATATAATATATGTATATGTATATATATCTGAAAGTAATTTCAAAATTTGAAATTACTTTCAGATATAAAAAGTCAGAGAGGAGTTTAAAAATGGCCACCGTAAAGATGAACAGCGTAAAAATGTCGGAAAATTAAACTATTGAAGAAAAATTACAATCTAAGATCTGGCAGTTTTTATTTAAATATATATATGTGTGTGTGTATATATATATATTAACTTGGCCACTCTCGAATAGTCGTTAGAAGCTACAAAAACCGAAGCTGAAGAGAGAACAAAAAATAAAGGACAATAAGAAAAAACGACGTTAACTGAACAAATGCCTTTTAACATGTTAGTTATTTAGTCCTTTTCTCTCCGAATGATTTCCCCGTTGACTTTCCCGCAAATAAGTTTCAGTGTATGAGTAGACACTCCTGCTTCATAGTATATATAGGTCTATATTTCTATTTTCATTACCTATACTTATTCATCTTGTTTCGGCCACATTGATTATGTTATTGGAATTGTAATTATATCAATACGAGTTCGGTTTTTGACGATATCGTTACACAACACGTCACTTCTCTACAGCCTTCCAAGTTTAAAGCCAAAAGCCTGTACCCAGTTCTCTGTCGACAGCGCGCGTGCGCACTCGCGCGCGACGTTCTTAGTTTTAAAAATTAACTTTTTGATTCAAAATCCATAGTGTTGTGCTAGTGAATTGTGTGTGAACTTCTTCCCTTTATTGCTCGATAAAGGGACAGATTAGTTTTCTTTTGGATTCCTTGTTCTGGTTCTCTTTCGGCTTTTCGCGGTAAGTTAGTTGTACCTGTTCACCGTTATATATTTGAAAATAACGTTGTCTTTATACTAATGAGACGTAGGATATCGATAATTGTTTTCAAATTAACGTTCGTTTTACATTGTCTTTTAAGATGTGTTTAGGAGACCATTGTTACGTGTTTAAGTCACGATCACGTTATCACGAAAATTCAAATCCATTAGTTCGATAACCGTTGAACAATAAGCTATAACGATAAGATAAGCAAAATGAGATATTATACAATACTCTCTTTACCTATTTAGCCATTATTCATCCTAACGGAATGCTTTGGTCGCTTTTATTGATTCAGCTGTTTTGTTGCAGGTCTGCGCCGTGTGGCGCGATAACGGTGAGTCCATCAAATTGATCTCTTAAGTTTATATGTGGGCCGATAATGGCGGCGTGCGTTGGACAGCTGGTCGAGGAAAAATATCAGATGTTAGAGCCTATACACACGACGTATTTTATACGCGCCGATGACGCGCGTAAACGCGATTCAAACGCGACGCAGTGTCAGCGAGTAAACCTTTGCACACGTTCACAAATTCAGTGGCGCCGTAAACGCGTGTCATCTGCGCGTATACGCGCCGCAGACGCGCTATAGTCGCGCGTGTGTTTTAATTTTTGTTTCGTTTGTTAACTTCACTTAGTTTTTGAAATGAAGCAACTACATGAAATTCTTAGTGTAAACTCCAGTGGAGCATATAAGGTTCTTGCTAGCAACGCGCTTCTCGCGCGCGTCTGTATCACGTTTGAATCGATACAAATGCAACAACTACGGCGCCGTAAACCCGCGTTTATGTAACGCGCGTCGTCGGCGCACATAAAATACGTGTATGTAGGCTCTTATTGGGTCGCAACGTACACGACGGGCAAACAAAATAAGTAAACAAGTATAAATCTAATTAAATATGCGCTCACTGTAGCGTTAGCAAATCTTTTGCAGTGCCTAGAATAATGTCATTGTTAAGTATTCGGACCTAAAAAAAATTAATCGATATAGTATAACGACGGCATCTACGAATATAACTATAAATAAAGCAACCTATTTATATGTAACTACTACATATTTATGTAGGTAATTATAACATTATTAGCATTAGAACTCCTTGTGAAAGAGTTCGTCTAGGAAAGAACTGAGGTCCAGGATTCTAGGCATGGCCGGGTCAATGTAATAATAATAACGTATCCCCTATCCCCGGACTAGGGAAAACCTGGACAGCCACAAATTACACCCAAACTCATGAAAGAAATGTAAGCCATACAAGTATTTATATACACCTTGTATGCGGGTCGTTTTCTTTTGTTTTAAGCTTTGCGTGATGTTCAAATTTAGTTCCGTTGTAGTAGATTTTTTACTTTGTTGTTGATTTTTTGTTTGGTTGTTGTTGTTTTTTTTATTATTTGTTTAATTTTTTGGTAACTTAATAACAAAATAATTGAATCCTTTTTATTTTGTTTAATATTTGTTCTTAAATTATTTTCTGTAAATCGATTCTCTCTTCCTTACAAGTTATATATAAGATATTGAAATAGTTTTTTTTTCATTCGATTTTATACCGCCATCTCTAGAAACTTCAAATCTCAAACGCGACTCAAATGAACTATAGTTACTTACTTTGGGATCATAGCAACGTAAGTGATGTTGTGTAATATTTATCATTTGTTATTATTTATCTAACAAATCAGTCACATTGTAATTTGTTTTGTCTTACTTTACCTATTTCTGTCGCCAATCTGGGGGTCTACTCTCGATCTCCGTCCGAAACAATTACTGTCAAATAAGTAATATTCGGCAAAATTAAAAGACAAGTATCAAGTATGAAGCTTGATTCGCATCACGCGTCTTTTCATTTGGTCAAGTATTGCTTATATGGCAGTAATTGTTTCGGACGGATGTCGGACGGAGATCGACAGTAGACCCCCAGTAATGTGATCATTACTGAGTCCCGGTTTTGAAAGGTTTTGAATTACGGGCACATGGGACTTATCAAATTTAGTCTCAGGGTAACGTGGCGACTGACCTACTAACGTTCTTATAAATAAATTCATGAACTACAGTTACTACTTACTTTGGGATCATAGCAACCCACGTGATTTTGTGTAATATTTATTATTTACAATACAATACAATATTATTATGTATCTAAAAAAACAATCACTTTGTAATTTGTTTTGTCTTACGTTACCTATTTCTGTCGCCAAGCAGCAATGACAGCATTACTGCGTTCCGGTTTTGAAGGGTAAGGGTGCTGTTAAAGTTACGGGCACATGGGACTTGTCAACTTACGACTGAGTGTAACGGTTGACTGATCTACCAACGCTCTTTCGCATTGTACTGCAATACAAATAAATTCATTTTCGTAAAATTTGCTATTTACGTTCATTTTCATGTTGTAAAAGCCGATATAAAACGAAAGATCTATCCGAATAAAATCGATATGAACCTTTTATCTCTAACGGTCTTATAAAAACGTGCCTTTTAAATAGTTTAAAGTTATCTTAAAAATTGATAGATATCGATTTCTCTGAGTCAATTGAAAATCGATAGCACGTGTACAGTAATTTTTATGACGCAATATTTTTTATTGTTATTACAGTTGAGAATGTGGACTGGATGTCGTGTCATTTTTATGGTTATTAATAGGTTAAAATTCGCATGGCCACACACTGCGTTCACTTTTAACTGTACGTGACGTGTACGTGATTAGACCGTTTACGGTTGTTATTCAAATTGCTTTGATATTTTTAGGCTATACAGCGTTTTGTTTCGTTCTTTGTGTTTTTTGTCAATTTCTTTTGTGAAATATAAACATTTTTCATACTTTACTTTTTTCACTTTTCTTTTTTTTTTCTTACCACAACTTTTCATAACTATATTTAATTTAACAGCTCATTAATTGCATATTTAAGATAATGAAGTATTTTAAAACTATTTTGTATTTTAAAATTTATCTTATTTGTTTATAAGAAAGACAATTAATAGTTTTCTGAATGCTTTGTACATTTGTAATGGGCATGCAAATTTAATATTCTTTTTTTTAAATTATACCATTACAATAAAAATAAATAAATTCCTTGTGAAAGAGTTCGTCTAGGGATGTACTGCCACCTCAGTTATTTCTACCGCCAAATACTAATGTGAGCATTACTGGGTTTCGGTTTTGAACGATAAAAGGTGCTAGTAAAACTGCAGGCACATGAGACTTGTCAATTTATGTTTCAGAGTGACAGACGCAGTAGCAGTGTCTCTCAGATCTTTGCGATTTAAAACTCCGAGTGGCACTGCAACTGGTATGGACAGGCTTGTTGGTTCTGTCACTTAGTATCATAAAAAATCTATCAATACAAATACGATACATTTTGCCATATTTTCGTTCTAAATAATGCATATCGTCAACTGGCGGGCACGGTCTTTTCTAACCCACGACTTGCTGATTTCGTCACGATGTTTTGCTTCACGATTTACTGAGGTATTATTATAAAAAAAATCTCAAATGTAATGTTAAACGTCGTAGGTATATGCCATCACAAAGTTTCAAACCTTCGACCTCTCATTTGAGAAGTAACTATTCACCGGCTGGGCTACCACCGGTAAGAGTAATGAATGGATCCAATAGAAACGACTCATCCGAAGAACAGAGTCCGATGTGATTATATAGCGAGAAGAGAATGAATACATAATTTTGTTATTCAAACTAAGGCCTATGTAAAGGTGTTTTGAGAATTAGAGATATATATCTTATTTAACAAAATGTACTATGTCTCGAGAACAAGCAGTTTTGCTCATAGATCTTTGTCCTACGGATGAGAATTGAACTGAATAGATTAAAAATAACTGTAAGGAAATTTGAGCATTCATTCCACTGCTTTTTTAAATTTTAAAGCCAAATTTCGTATGACAACTCCAAAGTAGGTAGTAACCACAGAGGTACTTAAAAGGTTGTAAGGACATTGCCCTTTGCCAATTGAAAGTGTATGCAGGTACAGTCGGTCTCTATAGTCGTCCTCGCGGAAACCAAAAGATCAAAGGTTGCTTGAATAACCTGACAGGGCTTGGCGCTTCCACTGTGTTGTTTTCTTATTTATTTGTGTGTCGTTGTTTAGTGAAATGTCGCTACACCTGGAGAGAGGTTTGATAATACTGCCATCTAATAAAAACGGAAGTAAATTAATTTGCTACTCCGCGAACCCAGTGAAAATCTTGCATTAAGGTGCTTTTCTACCACCGAAGCGAGACGAGACGAGGTGAGACAAGAAATGAAATTTATATGATAAAATTTCAATTGTCTCGTAGCGCATCTTTAGTGGTCGGGATTAACGAGGATGTGTGAAGCGGGAATTGAATTATTTGTTAATGTAATATTGAACCGTATTGCTGCCCACAAAGATTTAATTTAACTCTGCAGAGGGAACATGATCCTTGCGCGAGATTGTAGAGTACGTGCGATTTGAGATTAAAAAAAAAAGAAAACTTCATCTGATTGTTCTTCCGTTAACATATTTAATAATTATAATTTACGGGACGTGTTACCGCAACCGCGTGTTTATCGCTGAAATAAACAGCACTGAACCTTTTCTATCTACAACCACCCCGTGAGCTCGCGACGGTCCGCGCGAGCAATTAATGGCAAGTTATGGTGGACATAGGCCGGCGAAATTTCAATTCTCGTCTCTCCTCATCTCATCTCGCCTCGCCGGTAGAAAACCACCTTTAGCTGCGCTTGTGTTGAATATTTTTTACGAGGTCTGTCCCAAAAGTATCCGACCTTCGTCCGTTATTCCGCGCTGGGTAATCATAATCGGGCTCGTGGCATCCATCAAACTAATCTCCATTCGACTGAACAACACACTCTCACCGGTGTTTCCACATCCCGAAACAGTTATAGAAGTCAGTTTTCGGAATAGCATTCATTAGGTACCTACACTCGTCGCATTTTTTTTAATCGTCTCTATGCCTTGAAGGCTTTAGGCGTTACTGCTACTTCCCTGGAAAAACTCTATCACAAGAAGCTCTTCTGCCGCCGATGTATATACTCCTGGACAAATTATTCGAACCACCTTGTCTTTTCACTATTAAATGCTTTAAATTTAAGAGTTAAGACAACCTCAAACGACTTTGATTGGTTCCGCTTAATAGTGACAGTGTTGAATCAATTACTTCGGAAAAAAATATATAGTAAAATTGAGGCTGTACACTGACTAGTATACGGTGTGAAATCACGTTTTCTAAAAAAATAACACAAACTTACCGCGAAATTTTACAAGAAAACCGCTGTATTCAATGGGTACTTCACATATATAGTTTTTTTATTGTATCAACTGAACTAAGTAGAACACGTATAGTAT